AAAAAAAAAAACTTGGGGCCAGCGCTTGGCACAGCAGGTTAATGCCTGGCCTGAAGCACCAGCATCTCATATGGGCACCGGGTTCTAGTCCCGGTTGTTCCTCTTCCAGTCCAGCTCTCTGCTGTGGCCCGGGAAGGCAATGGAGGATGGCCCAGGTGCTTGGGCCCCTGCACCGGCGTGGGCGACCGGAAGAAGCTCCTGGCTCCTGGCTTCAGATCACCGCAGCTCCAGCCATTGAGGCCAATTGGGAAGTGAACCATCAGATGGAAGACCTCTCTCTCTTTCTGCCTCTCCTCTCTGTTTAACTCTTTCAAATAAAATAAATAAATCTTAAAAAATAAATAAACAAATCTTAAAAAAAGTTAAATCTTTCTGGGGGAGATTAACACCTTAAGAACATTATATCCGGGGCTAGCACTGTGGCTTAGCAAGTAAAGCCACATGGCCTAAGATGCTGGCATCCCACATGGGTGCCAGTTTGAGTCCGATTGGACGCTGCTCCACTTCCAATCCAGCTCCCTGCTAATGGCCTGGGAAAAGCAGCAGAAGATGGCCCGAGGACTTGGGCCCCTGCCACCCATGTAAGAGACGCAGAAAAAGTTCCCGTATTCTTGGCCTCAGCCCTGGCATAGCCCTGGCTGTTGGGGCCATCTGGGGGTGAATCAGCAGATGGAAAATCAATCTCTCTCTCTCTCTCTCTCTCCCCCTATCTCTCTAATGCTTTCAAATAAATCTTTTTAAAAAACCATTAAATCCATGAACATGGTATATATCCCATTTAAGTCTTGAATAATTTTCTAATCAATGTCTTGTGGTTTTTCTCCACACACATCTTTCAGACTGTAAAATTTACCACTAAAACTTTTTGCAATTGTCAACATCATCATAAATTATTTTGAGTGCACATGGCAAATACAAGTTTTTTTGTGAAAGTCTTACATACTACAGTCAAGCTAAACTGATTTATTTGTCCCAACAGCTTTTTGGTAGCTATCAGATTTTCCAAAAATTATCTCTGAGTTTTAACTGTTCTTTTCCAGTGCTTTTTGTTTGCTTTTTGCCCTGCTGCACTGTCTTACACCCTCTGGTAAAATGTTCACAAGAGTGGGCATCCTTGCCCTGGAGCTGGTAGTAACAGGAATGCATCCACATGAAGTATCACGTTGAGATTTTTGTAGAAGTGCTTTATCAAACTGAGTGAATTTCCTTTGACCCCTACTCACTAAGGACTTTTTTTTTTTTTTTGACAGGCAGAGTGGACAATGAGAAAGAAAGACAGAGAGAAAGGTCTTCCTTTGCCGTTGGTTCACCCTCCAATGGCCACCGCGCTGTGGCCAGAGCACCGCGCTGATCCGATGGCAGGAGTACTTATCCTGGTCTCCCATGGGGTGCAGGGCCCAAGCACTTGGGCCATCCTCCACTGCCCTCCCTGGCCACAGCAGAGAGCTGGCCTGGAAGAGGGGCAACCGGGACAGAATCTGGCGCCCCGACTGAGACTAGAACCCAGTGTGCCGGCACAGCAAGGCGGAGGATTAGCCTAGTGAGCCGCAGAGCCGGCCCATTCACTTAGGACTTTTATTGTGAATTGTTAGTGTTGAACTGTCAGATTCCTGCCTCTGTTAACCATATTGTTTGTTTGCACAGTTAACATAGTGAATTATACTAATAAGCTTTCAAATGTTAAACATTTTGCATGCCTCGGGTAAACCTCATTTTGTCAAGATGGTCTTTTTTTATAAGGATAATTTATTAAGGATTGGATCTGCTAGAACTTTTGTGTTAATATTTCTGCAATGTTTGGTTGGGGGTCAGGGAAATGCTGGCCTCCCAGAATCGAGAACTATTCTTTCCACTTCAGTTGGCTGGCAGAACTTGTGTAGACGTGGTACCATTTTTTCAAATGTGTGGTAACATTTACCAGTACAGCCTTCTAGGCTTACAGCTTTCTTTGTGAGATTTTTAACTAAAATTTCTATTTCTTTCATTGATAGTAGTGTTTAGGTTTTCTATTTTTTTCTTGAATGACCTGAGATAATCTGTATCTTCCAAGGAACTTGTGAGTTCATTTCACCTAAACTGTCAAACATATTAACATAAATTGTTCAGAACAGTTTAACTCCTAAAAACTCTGTAGTTGATGCCCCCTCTCTCATTCCTGGCACTGGTAATTTTTATCTTGTCTTTTTCCCCTGATCAGTCTAGATACAGGTTTGCAAATTTCCCTAAGCTTCTCAGAGACCCAGCTTTTGGGTTATCCATTTCTACAACACCATTTATCTTTCCATTGTCACTGATTCCTGCTCTTTGCTATTTCTCTTGTCTTCCATTTTTTTAAATTTACTCTTCTTTTTCTAATTTCTTAGAGTAGAAGCTAAAAATCACTGATTTGAGACCCTTTGTTCTAAACCAGGCATTTAGTGCTATGCATTTCCCACAGAGTCCTGTTGTAGATGCATCAGAAGGCACATCAACACAAAAAAATCAATTGTTTTCTATATACCAGCAATAAACAAGTAGAAACCAAAGTCAGAAAAATAACACATTTACAACAGCTCCAAGAAAACAGCTATAAATCTAACAATGTATGTGTAGGATCTGTGTGCTGGAACTGCAAAATGCTGATGAAACTTGAGCTGTAAATAAACACCTTCTGTTCATGGATTAAAGGCTCCCTGTCATAAAAATGTGGATTCTTTCCAAATTTGACTTTAGATTTAATGCAATTCCAATCGAAATCTCAGGAGAAATTTTGTACAGATAAACTGATTCTAAAATTCACATGGAAAAGTAAAACCTGATAGAATAGCTGAAACAATACTGAAAAGGAAAAATAAAGTTGAAGAAATTTCACTACTAGGTTTTTAGACTTATTACAAAGCTACAGTAAACTTGACCACATGGCATTGACCAAAGGAGAGACACAGATCAATGGAAGAGAATAAGACATCCAGAAAACAGGCCCAACAATATGGCTAATTGGTTTTTGACAAAAAGGCAAAAGGGATTCAGTATCGAAAGGCCAGCCTTTTCAACAAGTGGTGCTGGACCAACTTAGACATCCACGCATATGCACTCAAACACAAACAAAAACCATAAACTTCACACTTTTAAAAATGCTAACTCAAAATAGATCATAAATCAAAATGCAACAAGTACAAAAATAAAACACTTACAGAGTCTTTGGTGGTAGACCAAGATTTTTTAGTCATGACACCAAAAAATCACAACCCATAAAGGAAAACAAAATTGATAAATTGAAATTCGCCAAATTAAAAGTTCTGCTCTGTGAAAGACACTGTTAAACAAAAAGATACACTGCAGACTGGGAGAAAATGCTACAAAGCACAAATCCAACAACAGACTTGTATTCATAATAAGAAAGATTCATAAACTCGACAGTGAGAAAGAAAACATCCCAATTTAAAAAGGTACAAAAGACTTGAGAACACTCTTCACCAAAGATACACAGACGGCAAATAAATACATGGGAAAACATTCACCCTCCCCAGCCATAGGGAAATGCAAATTAAAACCATGAGGAGTGATCACTACACACCTGCTAGAATGGCTAAACTAGGAGCACCTGGAATTACCTTTCTGCTGAGTAACAACCTTGTCTTGAACACACTGCATCAATATGCACACAAAAATATTTTGCTACTGGCTTTTAGACAAAAACACACCCTCCAGCTTACACAACTATCCATTCAGAACATAAGGAACAAATGTAAATTGGATACCATATTCCAATCAACCATAAATGCTTTGCTTTGCATTGATAATGCTCCCAAGTCAGGAAGATGTTTAAACCCGTCTCATATCAATGGCGTCAGAGGGGCAATGTGTGATCCAACTGAAGGCAAGGTCTTTGGGAAGTGACTGGATTGGATTAGTTGCTAGGGTGGAGTCCCCAGGATCAAATCACGGTGGCTTTATACAGACTCGTGGACATGGACAGATGAGTGAGCTCCAGGTCTCTGCTCACCGTGTGATGCTCCCTCTGCACTCACTCCACCATCCACCTCTGTTACCACCCACAAACCAGTGAGGCTGCCCACCTTGGACCATGAACCTCCAAAGCTGTCATCCAAAATACACCTTCTGCCTTCCTAAAAACTTCCTCTCAGGACAAAAGGCTTCCTAAAACAGGTAGAATCTTCCAGACTCCAGTCTACTGTTCTGTGTTCATTATTTTCTCACTTATTAAAGGCTCTGGTGTTTAGCCTTTATTTTGTCCTGAAGCAAGGGTCAGCATGCTTTTTCTGTAAAGGTTCAGATCATAAATGTTTTCAAGTCTGCAGGCCACCTGGCTTCAGCTGCATGACCCATCTGCCCTGGAAGCAGAGCATCTGACGTAACCAGTGAAGAAGGACAGAGTTCCCATTAAATGTGTTCCAAAAAACTTCAGAAAGCTGAATGCAACTTGACGTGGCCCATGGGTTCTGGCTTGCCAGGCCCTCTTCTACGGATAGAGCAGCAGAGGGTGTGCACCAAGAACGCAGCAGGCAGCTAGTGGGCAGGACCAGGGCCAGCCTACACTGCCACTAAGCACTGAGTTAGTGGCTGTCTGCTTTGGTTGGGGAAACCTCTCAGCCTGCAAGCACTGGTCCCAAGATGGTTCTGGGGGACCCTCCCCCCTTCCTAAGGTCAGCCATGTTTCAGCAGTACACACAGACTTCCTCAGGTTCCTTGACCACCATGCAGCGAGGGTGAAGCTTGGGGAACGACAGAGCTGTCAAGATCCAGGTCTTTCCCAGGGAACAAGCTCCTCTTGACAAACAAGGAGCACCAGAAATACAGGAAGCACCTTCACCTGCTCCATCGTGAAAGGAACGGGTGTGCTTTTCCCAGGGGTTGTCCAGGCACCAGGATTCCCACTACATCACTATCTCTGGGGGTAGGATCTCCCAACAGGCAATCTTGATGCCCAACCTCCAAGGGGCCCCCAGCTGCAGGGCATGGTGCTGAGGCCCCCCAGTTTTCACAATACCCACGCAGGCTTGAAGGAATACACTTTATTAATCTAGCTCTCAAGACACTAGAGACAAAAACTCAGCTGAATTACAACCTATTTACAGAGTGCTGCCTGTGGGCAGGCTGGGGCTCAGCCTGGTTCCTCCCCAACCACCCACCACACCCATCCTCCAAACAAGCCTGGAGCCACCTTCCACCTACAGCAGAAACATCTGGCACATGGAAGACGTTTATATAAAACTCACCAAGCCCTCAGCCTGGCACACCAGGCGGGCGGACACCAGACCGACACAGAGAGACAGACGGACAGCGACAGGAGCAGAGACTGCCAAGGAGGCCGTAGCCTGCCTCAGTGCTTCTTGAGGCTGTAGGTCAGGCTGCCAGGGGCCCTGGGGCCCTGCAGAGGAGGTGAGTTCCAGACAGCAGAGCTGGTGCGCTTGTGATAACGGGGCTTGCTCTTTTTGAAGATGTCCTCCAAGTCCAGTGGGAGAATGGTTCCAAAGAGCTCCAGAAGGTTTGGGGGGTGGTAGTACTGGTGGACGATGGCCTGGCTGAGCTGGGTGCCTGCAGGGGCAAGTGGAGGTCCAGGTCACTCTCCATTAGCCTCCTATCCCTTCCCTGCTACCCACAGTGCCCTGGCATCCTCTTCACCCCTGCCTACCCCAACCCCAAAAATCAGCTCGTCTACCGGAGCCCTCCCCCGCCCACCCACACCAAGCACTGGTAATGCTCTTATTCACATCCTTACTGCCGGCTGCTTGCAGACAGACCACAAGAGCTCACATGAGCCAGGCTCTCGGCTGACCTCTCCACCACATGAGGTCACTGTCCTCACCATGACTGGGACGCAGGGGCTTTATTCTCCCCAGAGGCCAAGGCTAATAACTGCAGCCCCAGCAGAAAGATGAGTCCATCTCCAGAACTCGAGCATGAGAGGCTGCTCTCGACCTCCCTGTTTGCTGCTTCACATCACAGTGCAGCCTGACAGAGGCCCCAGGGCGGGGCCGTGGGAGGGCACTGCTCCACCAATGAGGCTAGGGAAGGCCCTAGGGTGTGAGGGAGCAGGAACCTGCCTTCAGTGCTTGCTCTGCACCAGCCCTGTGCTAATTCAGTTCTTTCTCAATAACCCTTCCTGGCTAGGTCTCAGCACCCCCGTGCTGTTTCAGCAAAGCCACCCAAGGCCAGCCATGATTAGGTGCTGTTGCTGCTGGCCTGGCTCTGCAGTGACACCTGCTCACTGCCACTTCCCAAGTGACTTAACACTAGCACTAGGGACACCAAGCCGGAACCCAGTGACTGAGGGGCTCGAATGAGGTGAAACCCACACCAGCAAGCCGTCCGCTGTAGAATGTTGATCCCTATGGGAAGTCCAGGCCCTTCCCTCTGGGGAAGCTGCCTTCCACTGCAGCCTGTACCTCAGAAAATGCTGCAAGGCACCTACTGTGTGCACTGATGCCTACTCCCTCCAGCAGCACCTACTGTGTGCCAATGCCCCTGCTCCATCCAGCACACCCCACACCCAGGTCTGAGACAGCACAGTCTCACTTGCCCACACCCAGTTGTTTTTTTGGTTTTGGTTTTTGTTTTTTTGTTTTTTGTTTTGACAGGCAGAGTGGACAGTGAGAGAGAGAGACAGAGAGAAAGGTCTTCCTTTTGCCGTTGGTTTACCCCCCAATGGCCGCCGCAGCCAGTGCAATGCGGCTGGCGCACCACGCTGATCCGATGGCAGGAGCCAGGTACTTCTCCTGGTCTCCCATGGGGTGCAGGGCCCAAGCACCTGGGCCATCCTCCACTGCACTCCCTGGTCACAGCAGAGAGCTGGCCTGGAAGAGGGGCAACCGGGACAGAATCCGGCACCCCGACCGGGACTAGAACCTGGTGTGCCGGCGCCGCAAGGCGGAGGATTAGCCTAGTGAGCCGCGGCGCCGGCCCACACCCAGTTTTAATGCTGGGGTCTGTGAACTCCTGCATCAAATCCTGCTCAAGTGCCCCAGGCCCTTCCTCATCCTTGCAACTTCCCCAGCAGGATCCAGCTCTCAGCATTCTGCCTACATCCAGTTACCACTCCCAGCTCTACTCCCACCCCAGGTGTTTATTTGGGTCCAAGTTTCAAGAGCCCTGCTGGGCAAGACTCCAAGGAAGGGCCTCAAGTCCATGTCAGAACACCCAGCAGTGGATCTCACTTAGTCCACCCGCACAGGTCTCCTCCTCAGATGAGCCCTCAGGCCACAGGACGCCACACCTTCCCCAAGGCCTGATGCAGGCTCAAGAGGCTGATGCCTCAAGCCACCATCCCACAGCACAACAGCCTGCTGCCACCTGCAGTAGCTAAACCACCACCCTCAGGCCCCTAGAAGGCGAGGACGGTCAAGGACCAGAGTCTCCCGGGGAGCTTCGGGCCCTGCTCACCTCGGGCCCAAGTGGGGATGGGCTTCCGGGGATGCGCCTCGTCATCAGTGGAGTCATCGCTGTTGAGGTCCATCCCGTAGTTATCTGGGTTGATCTTGGGGGGAGCCCTGTGCCCTTGTGGAGTCATCTGATACGAGGTGCAAGCTGGAGACTGAAAAAAAACCAACACAGCCGTCATCTCCTCCTCTGTGCACCCCTGCAACTCTCACGGCTGAGGGGCACTGGGGCTCATGACCTCCCCTCATTTCACAGGAGACTAGAAGGTTCAGGAGCCAGCGCTGTGGTATGGCAGGTGCTACCACCTGCAGCACCAACATCCCACATGGGCACCAGTCCAAGTCCTGGCTCTCCACTTCCAATCCAGCTCCCTGCTAATGTGCCTAGGAAAGCAGAAGATGGCCCAGGTCCTTCAGCCCCTGCCACCCACATGGGAGACCTGGAAGAAGCTCCTGGCTTCAGCCTGGCCCAGCCTCAGCCATTGCAGCCATTTGGGGAGTGAACCAGTAGAGAGAGTCTCTCTCTCTCTTTCTCTCTATTTTTCTCTCTCTCAGTCTCTCACCTCTCTAACTCTGCCTTTCAAATAAATAAAATCTTAAAAAGAAAAAAAAGTAATAAAGAAACTAGAGGTTCAGGGGTCACTCTTTCATTGTAAAAAAGTCACAGAACACACACTACTCAGTAGCTTCCTTTTTCACGTTACAATAGGTGGCAAATTTTCTTCCAGGGGCCAGCGCTGTAGCGTAAGCAGGTAAAGCCTCTGTCTGCGGTACTGACATCCCATACGGGCATCAGTTTAAGTCCTGGCTGCTCCTCTTCCGATCCAGCTCTCTGATATGACCTGGGAAAGCAGTGGAGGATGCCCCAAGTGTTTGGGCCCCTACACCCGCATGGGAGACCCAGAAGCTCCTGGCTCCTGGCTTCAGATCACCCAAGCTCCAGCCGTTGCAGCCATTTGGGGAGTGAGCCAGAGGATGAAAGATGTCTCTCCGTCTCTCCCTCCTCCTCTCTGTCTATAACTGTACCACTCAAATAAATAAATAAATAAATCTTTTTAAAAAGTTTTTTTCTTCCAAGTCAGCAAGACAAGGCTTACTTCCTTTGATACAACTCCGGGAGACTTCAGGAATCGCAATTTCATGTCCATCAGATGTGAGCATTCAGCAAACTCCCAAGTTTTCAACATCTTTTTTTTTTTAAGATATTATTTTATTTGAGAGTTAGTTACAGACAGTGAGAGGGAGAGACAGAGAGAAAGGTCTTTCTTCCGTTGGTTCACTCCCCAAATGGCCGCAACGGCCGGAGCCGTGCCGATCCGAAGCCAGGAGCCAGGAGCTTCTTCCCAGTCTCCCACGCGGGTGTAGGGGCCCAAGGACTTGGGCCATCCTCCACTGCCTTCCCAGGCCATAGCAGAGAGCTGGATTGGAAGAGGGGCAGCCAGGACTAGAACCGGCGCCTATATGGGATGCCGGCACCACAGGCAGAGGATTAACCTACTGCGCCACTGCACCAGCCTCTCAACATGTTAGCTACATTGCCAGGAAAGCCCCTGCCCATTCCATGTTTTATTTGGTAATGGCACTGAACTAAAAATAGCAAAAATGATCATCAACAGGTGCTAATAACATCCCAGTACAACTAACTGGAACATAGCCACCAAAAAGTAGAAGTTTACACGTGCTGAAACAGAGAGACGTCTACAATACGCAAAGGAAAGAGAGCATCCAAGCTGCCAAGTGGTTTGTTTGGTCTGTGCCCATGTGTGCATGTATCGGAGACTGTGTAAACACTTAATGGTCATCTCCGCAAACAGACACTGAGCTTGGTAGTTTCTCCTGTGGGTACCTTTCCAGCTTTCTATATAGTTTGGAATTTTAACAAATTCTACCTTCAGAATAAGAATATACATGCACAACATATGTACAAAACATAGTACAGGGGCCAGTGCTGTGGCTAAGCGTGTAAAGCCACCGTCTTCAGTGCCAGCATCCCATGTGGGCACCCATTTGAGCCCCGGTTGTTCCACTTCCGATCCAGCTCTCAGCTATGGCCTGGGAAAGCAGTAGAAGATGGTCCAAATCCTTGGGCCACTGAACCCATGTGGGAGAACTGGAAGAAGCTCCTGGCTCCTGGTTTCAGATCAGCACAGCTTTGACTGTTGCAGCCAATTGAGGAGTGAGCCAGTGGATGGAAGACCTCTCTTTCTCTCTACCTCTCCTTTCTGTGTGTAACTCTGACTTTCAAATAAATAAATCTTTTTTAAAAAATAGTATATATAAAAACTACAATATGTATAAAATACAGAAAAGTAGAAATTATACTAAAATATAGTATGTATAGAAAAATAGTAAAAACCCCCATTGGGCCAAGAGCAACCTTCATATTTCTTAAGGCCCTAACACATATAGCTGGCGCCTGCAACTACTGGGAAGCTAACAAGCCAAGAGGGGCCCTCCCACCCCGAGTCCTTCTCATCAGAGGCCCAGGCCTCACCTGCACATCCATGGTCACATTCAGGCCCTTGCTGGTCCCCGCGGCTTCCCTGGCTTTCTTCTCCTGCTCCTCCTGCAGCCTCCGCTCTGCCAGACGCTGCTGCTCTTCCTGGGACACAGCCAGCACCGGTGGTAGAGGTGGGTGTGCCTCCCCTTCTCCCACTGCCACCCACACAAGGCAGGCCAGGCAGCCCCCCCTTCCCAGGGCACGGCTCAGTGTGGAACCTGCCAGGATGGAACCTCAGCGCTCCTCACCTTCTTCTTCTTCTCCTCCAGTTCCCTCTGCAGCCGCTCCTTCTGCAGCTGCAGGGCCTTCTCCCTCTCCTGCAGCTCCCTGAGGACCCAGAGAGAAACGTCACGGCAGGAGGCAGAGCCCTGGCCCTGTTCCCATCCCTGCCAGGGAAGCCAGGACCCACACGGCAAGGACAGCAGAATGGGCACATGGGCCAGAGGCAGCGTGCAGGGTGCACAAGCCGGACCGCGGCTTTGGAGGTGGCCAACACGCGGCCCCTGCTCTTCCACACAACCTAGGTCTCTGAGCCTCTCTCTTCTTTTTTCTTTTATGTGATGTGGACTACAGCACCTTTACTCCAAGACAGTCCTAAGAATCAAATGGGACAGTTCGTGCTGCCCCCTACAACACCCTGTCCCACAGGGCAGACACTTGGCTCCAAGCACGAAGCAGGACAGGGGCTGCCGACTTCTGAGCTCATGACCCTGAACAAGGCATGGACGCGTCTGACTTGCTTCCCCACTGTCAGGGACAGCTGATGGCTCCCAGACTCCAGTGGGCTTCAAGCAAGGATTAAGCAAGGAAACGTGTATTAAGAATGTAAGCCAGTACCCACCAAAGCTGCCCATCACGACCATCACTCTGCTGACCCCCGGCCCCCACCCAGGCCCCCAGCACTGCCTGGCACCACCCACTGCTTTCAGCCCCCCTACTCCCCTTGCCAGACTCCTATCTCTGACTGCCCACAGGACCAGGGACACCCGGGTACCAACAGGCACAGGAGATGAGCTGACACAGCCCAGGCCTCTGGCTATGAGTCCTCTTTCTCCATGAAGCCTGTTTCCCGAGCGGGGCAGCACCAAGGACAGTGCTGGGCCTGCAGGTCTGCACACCCAGGGCACTTTGCTGTGTCTGCACTCACAGCCACAGGACCCAGAGGTCTCCTGGCCAACACTGAGTGTGGCTCCTGGATAAAGACTTCTAAAACCAACAGCAGCACTACTGTCTGCCCCACAAGGACCACTGTGCTGGAGAACTGCAGGTGCCAATCAGGGACCGCCTGGAAATGTGGGGGGCAGGAAGTACCAGGGCCATCATGGCCGGGGAGGTACACGTAGTCAGCAGTGGCCAAGGTTGCTGAGCCCCTGGCACAGCTCACAAAGCTCTCTCCTGCCAAAGCGCCCGTGCGGACCCTACTGAGAATGCGCTCCTGCTACCAGACCCCGCCCGTGTTGGCTGAGGAAGGCTCCAGGCACGTAGGCAAGGGCCACATCTACCCACCCTCACACACTCAGCGCAGGCCCGGCCAGCCCCGCCCTCACACAGTCAGGGGAGCCCAGCCAGCGGCCGCCCTCACACTCAGGGGGGGCCTGGCCTTGGCCGCCCTCGCACAGTCGGGGGAGCCTGGGCAGCGGCCGCCCTCGCACTCAGCGCAGCCTGGCCAGCGGCCGCCCTCGCACAGTCGGGGGAGCCCGGCCAGCCCCGCCCTCACACTCAGGGGGAGCCCAGCCAGCGGCCGCCCTCACACTCAGGGGGTGCCTGGCCTTGGCCGCCCTCGCACACTCAGGGGGGCCCGGCCGGCGGCCACCCTCGCACAGTCCGGGGAGCCTGGGCAGCGGCCGCCCTCGCACTCAGTGCGGCCCGGCGGCAGCCGCCCTCACCTCTCGGCCTGCAGCCGCTCCTGCTCCCTCCGGCGCTCCTGCTCGCGCTGCTCCGCCAGCCGCCTGGCCTCGGCCGCCTTGCGCAGCCGCTCCTGCTCCTCCTCCTCCTTCCTTTTCTTCTGCAGCAGCTCCTGGTGCCTCCGCTCCTCCTCCTCCTGAGATGGCAACAGGGCAAGGTCAGGACGCTCTGGCCAGGCCTGGGCACAAAGGGAGGGAAGAGAGGCCGGCAGGAGGCGCAGAGGGCCGGCGCCCACCCAGCAGCCGCCACTGCAGAGGACGGCGGGGGCCGGGCTGCAGGATGCCCCAAGCCAGACGCTGCAGAATCCCCAGGGGCCAGCCTGACGCCTGCAGGCAGGGAACCGACCCGGAGTCAGACTCGAGCTGGGTGAGGCTGGGTGGGCCACTTAACTCCTCATGCAAACACAGGAACGCAGCACCCACACCCCGGGGGGCTGCCGGGGCTGCACACAGGACACACTTGGCACAGGGTAAACAATACACCCTAGTTATCAGTGGCAGAGCACTTGGAGTGGGACGGTTCCCCTACTCTCACAGGCGGAGCATCCTGGGACAGATCGTGCGGAGAACACAGCATTCGCCAGACAGTGCCCGACCACTACGCACACTTACACAGTTAGCCACCACAAGGACTCCATCGGGTTAATACCACTGCTACACGAAGTAACAGAGCACAGAGAGGTCGAGTGACCTGCCCAAGGTCACACAGCTAATAAATGGCAGAGCAGAAATGAGAAGCCTGGCTCCAAGCATGCACTTCACCCTCCAATTGCTGACTCTACAGAACACGAGAGGCAGGCTGTTGTCACTCTCCCTGCCCCCACACTTTGCTGGATCTCCTCTGGGCTTAAGGCAGCAAGAGCCACCAGGATCAGTCCTCACAGCAGGGTGTGCCGGCAGGGCTTCCTGGCACTTCCTGGACGGCCGCGGCCCTCCTGCTCCACCCCTACCTGATGGCCACCAGCATTCGCACCTGTTGCAGCCACCGGAGCCTGCGGGCCTCCTCCTCCTGTTTCCTGCGCGCCTCCACCTCCTCCATCTTCTTGGCTGCTGCCTTCCTTTTGGCTTTCTCCTCGGCCAGCCGCTCCTCCTTGGCCTGCAGGGCCCACCCACATGTGCTCAACGGGGCAGCCCCTCTAGGCTGGGGCCTGGAGCTCAACACGATGGGCACCCATTCCCTGGGCACCCTGCTCACCCCCCGCTGCCACAGCCCAGGGGGAGGGCACTGGAAGCCAGTTCCGCCCAGGAACACCTGACCCCACCTCCCTGCCAGGAGCAGCCAGGAGACCCACGGCAGAGACCCTCAACCCTCAGCGTGCCCATGGGGAAGGCAGCAAAGGGGTGCAGGGTCTCAAACTCCACGCGGCCCACTGGGTCCACTCTGAGTCTCTCCGGCCCAGGGGCACGGCCCCGACCCCCTGGCCGCCAGCAGCCCAGGCTCTCACCTTCTCGGTCTTCTCATCGATCTGAGCAAACTTCTGCTCAATCTGCTTCTTCTTCTCCTCCTTCATCTGCTCCACCCGCTCGCGGGCCTGCAGCACCTTGCGGAGGCGCTCCTCTCGCTTCCTGCGGGGCACAGGCCGGTCAGGGGAGCCCGGCTGCGGCAGCGCGGGCCGGGGGCCGGGGCCAGGCCACTTACAGCTTCACCTCCTCCAGCCGCCGCCGCTTGTCCTCCTCCACCTTCTGCCTGCGCAGCTGCTCGGCCTCCTCCTTCCGCCGCAGGTTCTCCAGGCGCTGCCGCTCCTTCTCCTTGGGGGGCAGGGGGCGTGGGGACGTGAGCGAGGACAGCGCTGTGACCCCAGCAGTGCCCCACGGCCCTCGGCCAGGCGGGCAGCAGCAGCAGAGCCCTTCCCACAGGCATCGCTCCTGCGAGCCCTCTGTGCCCACCTGGGCCAGGCCTGCGCCTTCAGCCCCGCCACCCCCCCAGTGCCTCCAGAGGCCTGAGTCACCAGCGCTCTCTGCTGGGCCCTGCAGAGCCATGGGCAGCACAGACACTCAGCTCAGAAGGACGTGCTGATGGTAACTCCACACATTGTACCACTGAGAAGAGAATGAAGAATGAGATTGGGAAGGGACAGCAGGGCAGCTTCAACCGTCCAGGATAATGCTCTGCTTAAGGAGGTTCTGGGTACCCAAGGGTGGGGCCAGCGCTGCGGTATAGCAGGATAAGCTGCCGCCCATGACACCAGCAGCCCATAGGAGCACCAGTTCGAGTCCTGGCTGTTCCACTTCTGCTACAGCTCCCTGACAATGCACATGTGAAGGTGGCAGAAGATGGCCCAAGTGCTTGGGATCTTGCCGCTCATGTGGGTGACCCAGATGGAGTTCCAGGCTCCTGGCTTCTGCCTGGCCCAGCCCCAGTCATTGTGGCCATTTGGGGAGTGAGCCACCAAATGGAAAACCTCGGTATCCCACTCTCTCTGTAACTCTTTCATATAAATAAATAATAAGTCTTTAGAAAAATAATAATTAATATACTTCATACACAGAGTGAATGTCTCTTACCCCAAAGGCTAAGTCTCAAAGAGTTTCAGATTTGGGGATAACTGCACAGACTACCAGTCAAGCATCCCTGATGTGAAAATCTGAAAAACCGAAATGCTGCAACTTGAGTGCCACGTTGTGCTTGGATACACAAAAACATACTCTTTTGTATATGTGCATTATTTCCTACGAGTTGAAAAAAAAATCAAATCAAATAGAGCCAAATGCTAACCAGGACTTCCATAGAGAGACTGACTTTATTTTGCAAACTTCCTGGGATACTGCTACTCTAATGCTAAACCCAGCTCTTTAACAACAGTAGCTGGTTGTATAGCAGACTGATGCTGGCACCCCCTCCTGGGCAAACTCACAAAGCCCTGAGGGGCAGGGCCACAGCAGCGAGCCAGCTTTAGGGACAGGCAGGGGTTCTGGTCAAGGACACCACATTTCGCCTGAATGATCTTGTGTGGGCAGTGGCAGCCTGGAGGCCTGCGCCCACCACGCCAACCTGGCTCTCACCTCTGGGCTCAGCCTCAAATAGCAGCCTCGCTCTCCCTGTGGTGGTTACTAGGGATTTCTCCCTGGAGGCTGGCTCTTGGCCCCGACTTCAGGAGCATTGCCATCCAGAAATCTGGTCCCCCACCTGGAGATGGGGAGGACACTCGGTTACAGAGAGATGGAGCGGACGCTCCACCTGTCTCTCCACTGCACCTGTCCACACACCCTGGACAGATTCAAGGAACAGCTATTTGAGGCCTCTGAAAAGCAAATGCAGCAGGCAGACTGGAGAAGACCTGACTTTTAGACACCAGGGAGTTCGCCAGGTTTTTTTTCCTTGCAGCCTAAACTCAGAGCAGCCTGAAACCCTAAAGGGGTCAGCAGGGCACAGACAGAGAGAAGGCTGGGGAAAGCCCTCTGGTGCTGACTCAGGGAGTGGAAGGGAACGTCTGTGCTCAGAGGACCAAAACCTCGTTTCTGCATCTTCCTCTTTTCCTCTTTCCCTGGCGGCCTGGCCCACAAGCAGCCCCACGGCAACAGGGCAGCAGCGGTCACAGGAAGCTGCAGAGGCGAGACTCTGAAGCAGAAGCTCCTCTCCAGACGCTGACGCTGTGACCCCCAAAGTCTGGGCCAAAGCCTGTTTGCTGCTCTCTTCCCTATCCCCTGCCAGGGGGCCCTGGACGTGGCAGTGAACACACGGCAGAGCAGGGTCACTACAGCCCCAGCCACAGGACACGAAAGGGAGCCCCCAGAAAACCACCAAGTCCTGGAGAGACCAGGAAGGGATCCCATAGGTTACCGGTGAACTCCTGAGCTCAGCTCCAAGCTGCGAAAGGAAGGACCTGACCCTAATTATGACACCAAAAACATGGAGAACCAAAGGAGCAGACAGACCCCTGTGCAGGGCCCAGAGCAACTGCTGTGCAGCACACATACCAGAGACTGACCCAGTGCACAGCAAGGGTGTTGCTGTGGGAACCACACTCCCTAGAAGCCAGGTTGGAATCTACCCAGCTCAACTGCTATTCAACTGCAACGTGCATAAAAATATGAACATTCTCCACAAGATTTGAACAAGACCCAGGTCTCACAGCACAACAGCTCAAAAGTCAAGGACACAATCCAGAATGCACAGAACCAGGAAACCTCAACATGCATGGGAAAAGGCAATCAGCAGACAGAATGGCCGGGGGCAGAGATGCTGCAATTACCTGATAAAGACTTTAAAGCAGCTCCTACAAAAATGTCCTTCAGACATCTTAACACAACCAGGAAAAAATTTCAACACAGTAACTGAAGTTTTAAAACCCAATGCATGGGGGCCGGCACCGTGGCACAGTAGGTGCCAGCATCCCATGTGGGCACCAGTTCTAGTCCCAGCTGCTCCACTTGCAATCCAGCTCTCTGCTATGGCCTGGGAAAGCAGTAGAAGATAGCCCAAGTCCTTGGGCCCCTAAACCCATGTGGGAGACTGGGAAGAAGCTCCTGGCTCCTGGCTTCAGATCAGCACAGCTCCAGCCATTGCAGCCATTTGGGGAGTGAACCAATGGAACAAAGACCTTTCTCTCTGTCTCTCCCTCTCACTGTAACTCTAACTCTCAAATAAAATAAATAAAATCTTTAAAAAAAAAAAAAATGCATGGTCTCAACAGTAGAATGGAAAGGACATTGCAAAGATACAGCAAGAAAGTGACTCAATCAGGCAGGTGTTCGGGTCTCCAGCACCCCATACTACAGTGACTGAGTTTGAGTTCCAGCACAGCTCCCACGCCAGCTTCCTGCTAATGCACACCCTGGCACGGAGCTGGTGACCACTCAAGTATTTGGGCTCCTGCTCCTCATCCATGTGAGAGATGCAGACAGAGGCTCCGGCCTGGCCCAGTCCCAGCTGTTGTGGGCATCTGAGGAATGAATCAGCAGATGGGAGATCTCTGGGCCTATTGTCCGTCTCCTCGCTTTTCGGATAAAATGAAAATAAAGCTAACACAGCCTCAGGAAACTGGGAGACACCACCAAAAGGTCTACACGCTTGGCACTGGCATCCCAGAACAGGACAAAGGGTGATGCTGAAAAGAACATTTCAAGAAATAACAGCTAAAAAAGTCTCAAATCTGATGAAACACAGAGACCTATGATTCAAGGTCAGCAAACCACAAACACAATAAACCCTAAGAAATCCAACACCAGACACATTAAAGACAAAGGAAAATGCCAAAAGCCACCAGAGAAAAAGGACAAGCAGCTCAGAGTAGAAGATTTCCCATCAGAAATCACCGAGGCCAGAGGACTTTTTAAAGTGCGGAAAGAGGGGCCAGCACTGTGGCGCAGCGGGTTAACACCCTGGCCTGAAGCACTCCAGCTGCTCCACTTCCAATCCAGCTCTCTGCTATGGCCTGGGAAAGCAGTAGAAGATGGCCCAAGTCCTTGGGCCCCTGTACCCCTGTGGGAGACCTGGAAGAAGCTCCTGGCTCCTGGCTTCAGATCGGCACAGCTTCGGCCTTTGCAGCCAAGTGGGAAGCAAACCAGTGGATGGAAGACCTCTCTCTCTCTCTCTCTCTCTCCCTGCCTCTCCTTCTCTCCCTGTGTAACTCTGACTTTCAAATAAGATAATAAATAAATCTTTAAAAAACAAATAAATAAATAAAAATAAAGTGCAGAAACAAAAGAGCTTTATATCCAGTGGCATATTCTGCGGAAAGAAAACAGGAACCAGCAATCTTCAGATGAAGGAAAACTAGAGAATCAGCTGCCAGCCAACCTGTTCCAAAAGAATTGCTACAGGAAGTGCCTCAGGGAGAAGAGAAACGATACCAGAAGGAAACGCTTAAAACACCAGGAACAAAGGCAGAGCGACAGAAGTGAAGACTTGAAGAAATATAATAGAGTAGCCTTGTACTCTTTTCCCTTTTTGTTCAATTGGTCATTAATTCGGGGGGGGTGGGGCAGACAGAGTTCTCATGTGCTGGTTGACTCCCCCAAATACCCACAACAGCCAGGATTCAGCCAGACTAAAGCCAAAACGGGGAGCCCGGGACACAGTCCAGGTCTGCCATTCAGAGGCAGGAGCACAGTCACTGGAGCCTCCCAGGGTGTGCATCAGCAGGACGCGGAGTCAGGAGCAGAGCAAGTACTGAACCCAGGCACTCTGACGTGAGTGAGGCATCCCAACCACTAGGCAAACGCCTGTGCCCTAATCGTTCTACAATTCTACAACTGAAAGAAAAATTACAACACGTCTAACATGGCAGTGACCATCGGTAGAAGTGATGTCTTAGACTATCACAGCACACAGTGGGGGACAGTAAAGGGGCAGGTGTGGTGCTGGGTTCTGCACTCCAGCTGAACAGCACGGACTCTCGATACCATCAAGGGCTGAGTATGGAACACTAGAACAACCACTAAATGACTCTAAAGTGCTAGATGTCATTTGGTCAAAATCACAACAGACAAGTTAGAATGGAACGGTGAAAATATTCACGAAAACCCCGGAAAGGACCAGGAGAAGTAGACAGGAGCAGACAGAGGCCCTGAGGTGTCTGAGAAGAGAGCAGCTTCTGCAGCCAGGTTTCCAGAAGCCACGGCTGACAGCCCCACTGCCACCCACACAGCAAGACCCAGACTCCAAGCACAGTGCAGTCAGACCTGCCCTGCCCTGCCCCCTCCCTCTGCGCCTCCGGGCTGCACTCAGGCCCAGTGGCTCTGGAAATCCCAGAAAGTTGTCTGTTCTCTTCACAGACCCCAGAGGGACCCAGTGCTAGAGAGGGGCAGGGAGGAAACACCGCAGGTCACACCCTTGCTCGCCTCCCTCTGGGAGCAGTGTTACAGGCAGAGGGGGCGGGCTCTGCAGAGGGAGGACACGCGGCCCCCAAACTGCGGTATCTCCAGCCAGCCACCCCCACCTCCCAGCACGATGTTAGCGCTTCTACAGTGCGTCAGTTATGTAACAGGGCTATGGCGGGAAAGCACCCGGTGGAGCTCAGTCACAGGACAGGAAGAGGCTTTACTTACGACAAAGCTGCTCTGTGGAGGAGAAGAGGAGACAAGGAGAAAGCCAAGAGTTAATGCCAGGCTGGGGGTCGTCCTGCAAGGCACACCACACGCCAGCTGGGCCAGTGGGTCTGCCCGGGGCTCACACCCTTTCAGGACCTCCTTCCTTGTCTCAGCTCATGCACCCCCTCCAATTGTCCCATAAAGTGAAGGCAAACATGTGTGCCTCTCTCCCCACTAAGACTGGGGGATCGGTGGGCAATGCAGGGGGTCTGCTTAGCCAATCCTGCACCTTCCCAGCACAGGGCCTGAGACCCAGCTCACACCAACTGGCCCAGCCCCTGGGCTATGACTGCAGCCCAGGACAGTGTCCCCAAAATACAGGGCTGCCCGCGGCCACATGGCTAAAGCTGGCCCTTGACCAGGGCCAGGCCATGCCCTCCTCTACCCCAACCCATGCTATTCACAGCAGCCTCGTGCCAGCTGTGGGGCGGGGGCCCACTCACCTTGGGGTCCACGCGCAGGGGAGTGTTGCGCTTGATGAAGGACTTCATGACGCTGCTGCGCGAGGCCGAGGTCGGGGTCATGAGCATCTGGTTCCTCTGCACTGTGTGCAGGAAGGTCCGGAGAGGCCGCACCACCTGCAGACCAGCAAGGTCAGGTCTCGGCAGGTGGGGCGGACCCTGAGTGGGGCAGAAGCCTGGCTCACCTTGCTGGCGGGGCAGGGCGGGGAAGGGGTCTTGCTCCTGGGGGGCTGCAGCTCCTCGTCCTCCAGGTGCTGCTCCTCATCCAGCTCACACATGGCCTGCTTGTAGCTGCGTTTCCTCCTGTCGAGGTGCAGGGAGCAGCAGCGTGGGGTCACAGGGCTGATCACTGCAGCCCAGCCACTCCCCAAAAAGCTGGCCCCAGTGAAGAACCAGGCCCAGGCCGTAGGGCTTGCTACTAAAAGGGGCTGCACCCGCTGCTGCCCAGGGGTAGGGAGGTGGCTGATCTGAGGTCACACAGCCAGCAGGTCAGAGGGATGCGGCCAACACTCTGGTCACTGACTCCCACGCCAGCACCCACCTGCAGCATCAGCACCAGGCTACGCCCCAGCAAGAGGCCACAGAGCCTCAACCACACACCGCCCTCCCTGAGCCAGGACCCAGGTTCGTGCCTGCATGCCCCCTCCCAGATGCAAACCTGACGCTCTGAGGTGGCTCTCTGGGTTCATCTGCTTGGTCAGCCGTGGCCTCTGTGGAGAGAGCAATTTCAGCGGGGCTGCAGGAATGGCGGGGGGGGGGGGGGGGGTGGCCGTGGAGGAATTAGAGAGGTGCCCACCAGTGGCAGCAGCATTGGTGGGGGCGCAGCTCCCTTACTGGCAGCCCCCAGGGTAGCCAGCAGCAGACGCATCAGTCTCCGCACTGATGGCCTTGAGGAACCCAGGGGTGTTCAGAGCCCAGCGCGCTCTCCCCAGCCCAGTCCCCTCACCCCGGAGCCTGGCTTTCTGCAGCAAGGACAGAGGAGCAGCCTCCGGAGCCAGCCCCAGGCCATGCTACCCACTCCAGCGCTGCGTGTACAGTTTCACACCACCGCAGCCCCAACATCTCCCCACACAGATGCCGGTCCCACCCCTGGTCCTTTCTGCTGGTGCCGCCCTGACAGGAGGTGGGGAGAACTCCTGCTGCCGGGTGGCCATGTGGGGTGTGGCACGTTGGGTCAGTGCACTGTTTCACTATTAGGAAAAAGCACCCCTTCCTCCACAGGGCGCTTGCATCAACCCTGAGGGCCATGGAGCTGGCATGACCACCGCACTTGACCCCACTATAAAGAGGAAGAAGCCATGTTCAAGTTCTCACAGCTCCAGCATTCTTCCTACCAGAGGGGGAAGCGCTCTTCCCAGGGAAGCGTGAATCAGCACACAGGACACCCCCACCCCCAGGCTGGGAAGCCGGGAGGGCTCCAGGCCAGCTCTCCTGCATCTCCCAAGAAGGGCCCACAATGACAGCAGTCAGCCTCTGGCAGAGACAAAGCAAGAGGCTGGGAGGGTGTTCAGTCCATGGTTCTTCCCACTCAAGGCCTTGATCCGCACCTTCACACAACTGTCTCAGTGCAGGCCCTCTACCCCGCTTCCTGCTCCAGCCGGCCCTGGCCACTCCACATGGCACTCAGCAGCAGCTCCAGCCGAAACTCCCAAGTTCCTTGCACCTTTGGCCTGCTATCAGCCCAGGGAATCCTGCCCAGAGAGAGAGCCAGGCCGAGGCCAGTGCAGCTCTGGGTCTGCACACAACAGGTCAGGAGACTCACCTTGCTGCCCTTCAGAGGGCGTGTCCTGGCCACCAGCTGCAGGCTTCGAGCCTGGTGTACTAATGGTGGTCTTGGTGGCACTGTGTGGCCACGAGGTATTCCCTTCATTGCTGGGGACCTGCGGGAAGATCCAGGGTATCTGCGTCCCCACCTGGAACCTGAGCTCAGGACGGCCATGGGGCGCAATAGGGCCCAGAGTCATCCCACCCTAGGCCTGCCCACCTTACCTCCGGCTCAGCTGCCTCCAGGGGCTCGGCCTCCTTGCTGGGCTCCTGTGTGGGGCTGAAAGCAGAGCAGGGGCACTCTGGGGACTGGCTAGAAAGCTCCAGCCCTCTCCACAGGGGCAACATGAGAGGCCCCGGCCTGGGCCGCAAACCCACAGCCCCAGTCAGGAGGCAGGATGGCAGCTGCAGCCAGGGGCTCCCTGGGCTTCCACAGCTGGCTCCCTGTCACCCCCGTCAGAGCTCTGATTCAGGATGGAAACACCATCCCCACTCTACCTCAACCTCTTGGGCCCCGATGAGTCTCTTTTGAGGTCTGCCCTCTACTTCCCATGGCGCAGCAAAGCCAGGGCTGCCCAGTCACCATCCCCCAGCCTAGGTGCTGACCCACTGCTCCAAAGCCAGGAGGGAGAGGCCAGCTTAGTGCTGGCAGCACATGGCCCCAGGGGAAGGAGCCATAACCCTGCCCTCAGCAGCACCAGGTGCCATCCTGGAGCAGGGAGCACCCCCACCCCTGGGCAGCCCCCTTTCTGCCCCACTCCCATCTGAACGTGGCCCCTCATGGCTGCTCTTCGTCGTCCACAACCCATGGAGCTCCCCGCTCATGCCCAAAGGACCAGGCCAGCCAGAGCTGACCAGCACTGCAGGAAGATCTGAAACCCACAGCACCACCTGGCCGGTCAGCCCAGAAGGCAGACGGCAGAAAGCCGGGTGGCCAGGCTGGACAAAGGCTCCGCGCCAGGAAGTGCCTCCACACTGAGGTTCACCCGGACTCCCTGGGAAGGCCCCCAAGGCCTAGGACGCAACTCACCTGACTTTCTGGGGTACCTCGACATTCAGGAGCCTCTCCAGGTAACTATGGCCTGCGGGGAAACAAGGAAACAAAGCAGGCATCAGAGAGCAGTCAGGGGCCACTCCAGGAGACGCGGGCAATCGGTGGCTAGGCTGTGGCTCCCTTCACCGGCCTGGGGCTCACCCTCAGCACTCATGCGCCATCCCCAGTGGCTCTGGTAGGTCTCCTGCTGTCTCCTGGCAGGGAGCATGGTCCTCTCAGGACAGAAATATACAAAAGCATCCCAAAAAAAAAACTAAAATATCTTGGGAAGAAGGCCAATGATACAGCTCCAGGTCCCCAGCTCCCAGCACTGGGCCCAACACAAAGCAAGCTGTTCATTCAGGAATCCTCACCGAGTGCCTACCATGCACTGGGCCCTGGCCCAGCCTCTAGGGACCAGCGGTGAGCAAAACGTCAGGGCTGCCTTTCAGTCCTGATGACCGGCGTCAGTCCCAGAAACCACACTGCGACACGTGCAGTGACAGAAAAGGGCAGAGGATAGCGGAGTCAGCCCGGAGGACCGACACACAGACCAGGAATCCACAGACAAGACGGGAGGAGGCAGCAGTTCCCAAAATGCCTTCTCCAACCCCTTGCAAGATCCAGGAGACGGACACTACTTTCATCACAATATTAATATGCTATTTTCCTCTCACTGCAAAGACACCAGCCTTCACAATGCAGACGACGAGAGCAAATGCCCTGGTGTGAGTCAAGGGCGAGGCATCCAACGCTGTGTCAGACATGGTTAAGGCGCTGACACAAAGACAGCAGCTGTCCTGTCTCACGCTCACAGCGAAGCACTGTCCAGCTTCATCTGAGAATGTCCTTGTCAAAGAAGTAAAATATTTATTAAATCCAGACTCAAGTGCATGGCTCATTAATATCCTGAGAGATTAAGTGGACAGTGTGCAAAAATGCCCTGATGCCACAGATCCGAGTCTCCAAGGGCGCGGTGTGAGTAGCCAACTGAACTAGCCACTCTTCCTCATGGGCCTCATGCGTAATCAAGAGAACCCACAAGCCCTGGCGATTCCATCTTCGGTATCAGAAAACATTTTGTTAACAATGAATGGAGTGATGCTCTCACTTAAAACAATAGTATTTGTGGGGCCGGTGTCGTGGCACAGTGGGTTAAGCTGCCTGAGAGGCTGGCATGCCATACAGACACCAGTTCAAGTCCCAGCTGCTCCACTTCTGATCCAGCTTCCTACTGTATTTTCCTAGAAAGGTAGCAAGATGGCCCAAGTGCTTGGGCCCTGCCACCCACATGGGAGACCCAGATGGAGTTCCCTGATGCACTTCAGCCTGGTCCAGCCCTGGTCGTTACAGCCATTTGGGGAGTTAACCAGCAGATGGAAGATCAATCTCTCTCTCTGCCTCTCCCTCTCCCTCTGTAATTAATTCTGCCTTTCAAATAAGTCTTTTTTTAAAAAAAGTATTTGCTTTAAAATTGTTGCTATTATTGGCAATAAAAAAACTGAACCAAAAAACGTCAAAGGCAGACTGTTGGGAGATGTGTATCCACCAGCAGAGGCTTCACAACTCCTGCTATCAAACGACTTTTCTGATGAAATCAGAAATGTGCTTTTTATTTTTTATATTATACAATGAAGTATGTTGACATTTAAAAGACATGAGGCCGGTGCCGCGGCTCAGTAGGCTAATCCTCCACCTAGCGGCGCTGGCATACCGGGTTCTAGTCCCAGTCGGGGCGCTGGATTCTGTCCCAGTTGCCCCTCTTCCAGGCCAGCTCTCTGCTGTGGCCCGGGAGTGCAGTGGAAGATGGCCCAGGTGCTTGGGCCCTGCACCCCATGGGAGACCAGGATAAGCACCTGGTTCCTGGCTCCAGATCAGCGTGGTGCGCCAGCCGCAGCGCACCGGCCACTGGAGGGTGAACCAACGGCAAAAGGAAGACCTTTCTCTCTGTCTCTCTCTCTCACTGTCCACTCTGCCTGTCCAAAAAAAAAAAAGGACATGCACAACTTGGTAAAATAATCTTTTCCAAATAACCATACTGGAGGTTATAAAGATCACACATGGCTAAAAGACACATTGCAGGTGTGCGGTGGACCAGTGTGGGACCGGCAGAGTGCGCCCTGCCGTGAGCCTCGCAGAAGGACCCCTGTGCTGGTGGGTGTGGTGACAGTGAATACGCAGTTCCTGAAAGTGCTACCATGAAGCTCCCGCTCTCCCAGCTGCCCCTGTGTGAGGGGTCAGGCGTTCCCCACTTCAACCCCAACATCGCAGCACAGACCTGTCTGCCTTCCGCCAGGCCACAACAGAGGGGTTACGGAGTGCAGAGTAACAAGAGGCTCCTCGCTACATCTTTACTCTGGAGAAGTCATTTTTCTGAGAAATCTGAGGTTAGCAGGCAGCAGGCCTGGTAGCGCTCCTCTTGGTGCTGTGCTCCATGGCTGTGCAGCACGATGGCCACCAGGGAACCTCGCGGCAGGGTTGGCTGCGCAAAGGAAGAGCCGGGCCCGAGCTCTGAACGAGCAAACACAGCTCAGCCCCGACCCGCTCAGCAGAGCTGCCTCGCCTGTGCACCCACAGTGACGTCATCAATCTCCCCAATAATCAGCACACAGAATGGGGGTGCCGGTGGCCAAAGGGGATCACAAGGAGCCTTTTCTAGAGCCTTCCTGCCCTCTGTAAACATGACCCGGCCGGGGTAAAGACAACTGGGCTTCTCAAAGGCCAGCAGGGGTCCATAACAGTCACATGTTCTACACGATTCTCCGGGGCCCTAGGTGTTCTCCTTTTTCAGAATAAAATAGTAAAGAATGCTTTAAAATCCTCTAATACTAAAGAATTAACTAATATTCAATAAGTCTTAAATAATATTTAAAGGGCCGGTGCTGTGGTGTAGCAGGTAAAGCCACCACCGGCAGTGCCAGCATCCTATATGGGTGCCGGTTTGTGTCCCGGCTGCTCCACTTCCCATCCAGCTCTCTGCTATGGCCTGGGAAAGCAGTAGAAGATGGTCCAAGCCCTTGCTCCCCTGCACCCGTGTGGGAGACCCAGAAGAAGCTCCTGGTTCTTGGCTTTGGATTGGCACAGCTCCAGCCACTGTGGCCAGTTGGAAAGTGAACCAGCGGATAGAAGACCTCTCTCTCTCTCTGCCTCTCCTTCTCTCTGTAACTCTTTCAAATAAATAAATAAATCTTTAAAAAATAATAATAATATTAAGAAATTTTTTAATTCCTCAGTTTTCATTTCTAATACAGTAACTATCAGTACATAAAAACTCATTATCAAAAGCTTTTCGGGGGCCGGCGCCGTAGCTCACTTGGTTAATCCTCTGCCTGTGGCACCGGCATCCCATATGGGCACCGGTTCTAGTCCTGGTTGCTCCTCTTCCAGTCCAGCTCTCTGCTGTGGCCCAGGAGGGCAGTGGAGGATGGCCCAAGTGCTTGGGCCACTGTACCCGCATGTGAGACCAGGAAGAGGCACCTGGCTCCTGGCTTCGGATCGGTGCAGCTCCGGCCATTGTGGCAATTTGGGGAGTGAACCAGCGGAAGAAAGACCTTTCTCTCTGTGTCTCTCTCACTGCCTGTAACCCTACCTGTCAAATAAATTTAAAAAAAAAAAAAAAAGCTTTTCTATCTCCTTGGTTATTTTTAAAACAGGAAGCAGGTGCTGAGACCAAAACGTGAGAGCCACTATTCTAGAAACAAAGAAAAGCATCTGGCAAAGACATGAGGCATGGGCCTGGCGCTGTGGTGCAGCGGGTTAAGCTGCCACCTGCAACACCGACATGCCACATGGGCACCAGTTCCTATCCAGGCTGCTCCACTTCTGATCCAGCTACCTGCTGGCAGCCCAGGAAGGCAGCAGAGGATGGCCCCTGCACCCACGTGGGAGACCTATAAAAAGCTCCTAGTCTTGGCCCAGCGCAGCACCAATCATTGTGTTTTCTCTCTCTAACTCTGCCTTTCAAATAAACAAATCTTTACCAAAAAAAGAGCAAAAAAAAAAAAAGCCACACGAGGCAGGAAAAGTTGTTTTCGGAGGACGTCTGAGTCAGAAGAGTGACAGGCAAGGCTGAGAGGCAGCCACGGTCAGAGCAGAAGCCAGCAGGAGGGAGCAGCTGCGAGACTGGGACGTGGCCCAGGCCCTCCCCACACAGCCCCAGTGCTCCTGCACAATTCTGCACCTGCACCAGGACTTCTCTGGAATGGTAAGTGCCATCTGCACGCTATTCAGGCTTCCAGGGCAGGTCTGGAGGCAGGGAAATGGCCCAAGGCAGGGGTGAGGAATGTCCGGCCCTTAGGCCAGTGAAATCACAAGGTCTGGCCCTGCCAAGTCCTAATGCAGGCAGGATTCGAAATTCAATAAATCTACAGCAGGTTAAGGTTATAAATATCCAATGGCCCTTGCTAGAAAAATGGTTCCCACACCCGGCCAAAGGCCTGAGGCCTGAGGGGCTGTTCCCCAATGCAGAGGCAGCTGGGGAGCTCCAAATAGGAGCCTGGCCCTTCGGAAACCTAAAACAGCAGCCCCAGGCCTCTGCCCAACCCCCTCAGAGCCCACCTGCCAGTCAAAGACAGCCCAGTGGCCCTCTCTGGCTGATGCATGGAGCAGTCCTCACCCAGTCCCCACACTGGCTCCCAAGGTCCCCACACCCACCTTTACCACAGTCTTTCCCTGCCTGACTTCCCCACGCCCCTGCTCCAGGTGTTTCCTTTGCCAGAAAATTCACAGGTTGTACCCAGGGGCTGCTTGCAGGGGGACTGAAACAACATCCCATCTGACTTGCCCTCCCAGCCACACAGCAGAGCCGCTCCCCTAGGGACCCACATCCAGACTCCCTTGCAGTTCCTCATTCAGGACCCCCTGGCCATACCTACAGTGAGCTGCAGGGGCACAGCCCTTACAAAACAGTCACTGAGCACACACCATACCCAAGCACTGAGGTGGGTCTCTTTACCCCAGGCAAGAGGTGTTGCTACCATTTCACGGATGGAAAAACAGAGGTTGGGAGAAGGGGTGAGCAAAAGGTCAGTCAGCGAGCCCGTGTGACTCCAGATGCTGGACCCTGCCTCCTCCTCTCCCTCTTTCTTCTGCTGGGGGGAGCACTGGGCTTAGAGTCAGACAGATCTGGAATCAGAAGCAGCCCAGACAAGGACGTCTGCTCCGCATACACGGGTGTTCCAGAGTCCATCTCTCCCCCGCCATCTGGCCCTCTCTCTGTTGGGGAGGAAGTCAGAAATGAGCCTTCGTGTATGAGAGGGGCCGAAGGAGAACGCATCACCCACAGAAGCGCACCTTGGGGGTAGCCCAGGATTTTACACAAGCTAACAGTGCTGCGGCAAGGACCAAATGAGATGATGTTTTCTTTCATAAATGTTAAAGACGCCAGCTGCTGTGTAACACACACTGATATAAAACCCAGCCCATCCTCCACCTGCCCTCCCTCCCACCTTTCCCCTTGGCCAGAATCCTGTAACAACCATCACCAGGCCACTTCCACTCCAGTGGGGTCCAGCCCATGCTCCTGGACATGAGCCCGCCTGTCATTCACCTCAAGGCTGCACCAGCTGTCTCCCCTGCCGGGGCTGCCCACCCCCAAATTTCCTTCCACCTGGCAAAAGCCCAGCCCACCTTCAAGGCCCTCCTATCTCAGGCTCCGCCTCCTCACTCAGCCAACCCTGGCTCTGAGGTGCCTGTCTCTGCTCTGGGGCTCACAACACCTGCTCCCACCAGGGCAATGTTGGGCTGAGGTTGGTTTTGATGATGACAAAAGCAGCGAATGTTACCCATCGATTCTACGTGCCAGGCATGGTTCTAAACACCCTCATGGGCTAATCACAGAAAACCACACAACCATCGTGGCAAAGGAGTCTAGTAGTAGCCCAGAGGGATACAAGCAAGAACTGAGGCCCGAGGGTGCAGGTGGGTGACCGGCACCCAGCTCAAGAACCTTTGCTGCACCCCCTCCGGCTTCCCCACGACACTCAGCCACGGGTTCCCACAGGAGCCGGCTGTGCTGAGTTGCCAGGGCAAACAGGTTTGCTCAGATGAGGTAGCACGCACCAGCACAGTGATGCCACCGCAGCTCCTGCCCGACCGGGGAGCAGGGCGCAGGCTGGCCCTGGAGAAGGGCTCAGGTCCCAGCCCCCAGGTGCCTGCTACCCAAAAGGCACTGGGGCCAAGCCCCTGGGCCTCAAGTTTTCTCACTTGCTTAACAACAAGGCTGCACTAGGTCTGCTTCCTTCACTATTGTAGCCACTGGCTCTATGCGGCTGTTATCTAAGATTCAGTTGTCAGACCAGCCACGTTCCAAAGGCTCAACAGCCAGACAGGGCTCGCTAGTGGTCACGGGGTAGGACAGTCCAGAGAGGGACTGCAGGAGTGTCCTAGGCCAGCCCCTGGAGGCACGGTTCTCAGAAATTCTGCTCAGCAGCCAGGGTCAGCCACCAGCCACCGCCTCCCTCACCCCCGGCCCCAGACTCACAGATGATGCGGGCAGAGGCAGCTGGTTCCTGGGCAGCTTTCTTGGTAATCCTGCTTGACCTGCGGAGGTTGCTTTCCTGTTTGGCCACCAGGGAGTACTTCTGGGCCAGGGAAACGCGGGCACGCGGGGAGGTGGAGGCGATGAGGCTGCGCCGCACCGGCCGAGTCTCTGCACGCTGGCCCGTGGGCGTGGAGCAATTACCAGGCAGGATGGGAGCCAGCACCCGCTCCCGCCACGGAGAATCCCGAGAGTCTGGAGAGCCCGGGGAGGCCCGCGCGATCCTCAGCTTGGAGGCCGACCGCCCTGCCCCAGCCCCTCGGCTCCTGGGGTCCTGGGGGGTGGCCACCAGGGAGCTCACTGTGACCAACTCCAGTCTCCCGGCCTCAGCCTTCTTGGGTGTGGCTTCCTCATCGGATGTCGGGATGGCCTGGGAGGCCGGTGTCCTGGCCGGAGACCCAGACCGCGCCCGGACGGCCAGGACCTGCTGCAGGTGCTGCTCCGCGCTGCGGCGCTCGCTGGCGCTGATCTCCACCAGGGGCACGGCAGGCTTCCTGGTGGGCTCTGTGGGAGACTCGGCGAGCGGCGAGGGGGCCGCAGACGGCGCCGTGGAGGCGGCAGCTGCGGCTGCGGCGGCGCGGGTGACCCGCCGCAGCACGGGCGAGCAGTTCTCCCCGACCACCGTGGCCAGCTTCTCCACCTTGTCCTTGCTGCGCAGGTGCCGGGAGCTCCGCAGGCTGCTCCGTGTCCTTCTGCGCGACAACCTGCAGGGGGCAGCAAAGCAGCGGCTGAGCTGGTTCAGCATGGGAAGGGGACAGTCCAGCTTCGCCAGGAGCCCCTGGAATGGCCGGTGTACAATTCAGAGAGCTTGGAGGCAAAAGACCCGGGGTCCAGGCCAGGCTCTGCTCCCTCCAGCCGTGAGACCCTGGGCTGCTCCTCTTCCAGCCTCAGTCTCCCTAAGGGAAACCGGGGACAAAGCTACAGAACTCACAGAAGTGCTGAAAAAATGAAATTCCCATGAGACCGCCTGCAGAGAAGGCTCTTCACACAGGCTCTCTCTCAGTCCACAGAATAGCCCCGCGGGGCAGGCATGGGCATTCCCACTTTAGAAGTGCGCACTTAACCCGGGAACACACAGCTGCCAAGGGCCAGGCCAGGGTTCACGGCCAGGACCACCCGACCCCAAGACCCTGCAGCCTGACATCCCTATGGGGAATTACAACAAGCGTGGCAACAGGCTTGGTCATGCTCCCCGGAAGAGCAGCGGCTTCTCTCTCCTCCCCACCTCCGGCTCAACACACACTGACACACCCCACTCTGACCTCCACAGTCTGGGCTAAGGCTTCATCTCTCCGTGGCATTCACCCACGGCCTCTCCTGCAGGCTGCTGCCCCCGTGAACACCTTCAGAATCAAACTCTCCCAGGACCCACCAGCCCAGCCCAGCCCAGCCCAGTCCAGCCTCCCCGGCCACTCCTACCTTTTCCTAATGGGGTCTCTATTTTCATCCTGAACATAAGAAATCCGTCTCTTCTTCCGTCTGTTCTTCTGAGAAGGTGTTTTGGGCATCAGCTCCGGCTCTTTGCTGAACTCTCTACTTGGAACAGGGAGGGTGACACTCAGGGCTGCCTGGGAACCCCCAGCCCCCTCTGCCAGCTGGCTTGGCACCTGCCCATCTGTTGGCAGCAACAGATCAAGCCGCGGTGACCAGCACCAAGCAAGGACTGGGACCCGCCTGGCTGTGCAGAGCCAGGCAAAGTAGGCTCCCGGCACCCAGAGGGAATGGAACTTGGTGGGGAGCCCAGACAGGGATGGCAGGCAAGGAAGTCCCCCATGCCACAGCGGCAGCCCAGGAAGCTCTGTGCTCCCCACTGCACCACACAGCCCGGCATCACCTGGTAAACATGCGTTCAGCCTCCTCCTCGATCTCCCTGAGCCACACCAGGTCCTTATTGTCCATGTTGCACACGAAGTCCATGAGCTTCTGGTCACAGAGCTCCAGCAGGTGAATGGGGCCCGGGGCTGTGGTCCCCATGGTGGCTCTGGCTGGTGGACAAGAGGCACAAGGGCTCAGGGTTGGGGACCAAGGCCTTCTCCAGGGAGAGCCTGCCAGGCTGCCACTCCCACGCACAAATCACCACAAAACATCCAGCACCCAGCCCAGGGGTGCCCCCTGCTCACAGCCATGCCCCGGGGATGTAAAATTCCAAATGCCAATCCACTGGCTGCATTCCTACAGAGAGAAGGGCATGCTCCTCCACGTCCCCTGCACCACACACACAGTATGGCCGTCCAACCTGAATGGTCTTCCTTACAATCGGCCCTTCGGGTTGTACGATGCAGGACACTGTCCCCTACCTCCCCAGACCAGGGAGAAACAGTAGCCACCACAAGACCTCTCCCACCCTTGCCCAAACACAGGCCTGCTCCTCCTTTGTGGGTGACTAGGCCAGGGCTAAGACACAGGCACCCTGCCCTGTACACTGGGTGACCTCAGACACGAAGAACATGGAACTGCCTCTAGAAGAGGTTCTGCCTCCACAGGCGAGCACAGACAAGGGTGGGGCCAGAGACAAGCTCTCCCCCTCCACACCTCTCCCTGGAGCTAGAATGTCCTATAAACGGATGAAAGAGCATGAGCACTGAAAAACAGCAAGGCCTTGCTTTAAAAAGAAACCAGGCTACAATATCAGGCGAGGGAAAACACAACAGCAGCTTGTTACTTTTTGCAAAATAACCAGAAGCTGCGCTGTCTTCCTTAAGATTTGGCTATAGAGCCGGCGCCGCAGCTCACTAGGCTAATCTTCCACCTGCGGCACCGGCACACCAGGTTCTAGTCCCAGTCGGGGTGCCCGATTCTGTCCCAGTTGCTCCTCTTCCAGTCCATCTCTCTGCTGTGGCCCGGGAGTGCAGTGGAGGATGGCCCAGGTCCTTGGGCCCTGCACCTGCATGGGAGACCAGGAGAAGCACCTGGCTCCTGGCTTCAGATCAGCATGGTGTGCTGGCCACAGCGGCCATTGGGGGGTGAACCAATGGCAAAGGAAGACCCTTCTCTCTGTTTCTCTCTCTCTCTCTCACTATCCACTCTGCCTGTCCAAAAAAAAAAAAATTAAAAAAAAAAGATCTGGTTATACTGGGGCCAGCGCCGTGACACAGCAGGTTAAAGCTGCTCCTACAGTGCCGGCATCCCACATGGGGGCCAGTTCAAGTCCCGGCTGCTCCACTTCCGATCCAGCTCTCTGCTGTGGCCTGGGAAAGCAGTAGAAGATGGCCTAAGTCCTTGGGCCCCTGCACCCATGTGGGAGACCTGGAAGAAGCTCCTGGGTCCTGGCTCCTGATTGGTGCAGCTCCAGCCATTGTGGCTATCTGGGGAGTGAACCTGCGGATACAAGACCTCTCTCTCTCTGTGTGTCTCTCTGTCTCTCTGTCTCTGTCTCTCTCCTTCTCTTGGTGTGTAACTCTTTCAAATATATAAATAAATCTTTTAAAAGATGATTTGTTTATAAAATCATTTCAAGGCCGGCGCCACGGCTCACTTGGCTAATCCTCCACCTAGCGGCACCGGCACACTGGGTTCTAGTCCCGATCAGGGCGCCAGATTCTGTCCCGGTTGCTCCTCTTCCAGTCCAGCTCTCTGCTGTGGCCCGGGAGTGCAGTGGAGGATGGCCCATGTCCTTGGGCCCTGCACCCCATGGGAGACCAGGAGAAGCACCTGGCTCCTGGCTTCGGATAGGCACAGTGCGCCAGCCATGGCAACCATATGGGGGGGGGTGTGAACCAACGGACAAAGGAAGACCTTTCTCTCTGTCTCTTTCTCTCTCACTGTCTAACTCTGCCTGTCAAAAAATAAAAATAAATAAATAAATAAAATAAAATCATTTCAAAAGCCCCAAGCAAAGAAGCAACCACAGTAGAGATCAACAGATTCTGCCTGGTGAATCGAACAGCAAATAAACACAGGATCCATGCTCTGACTGTGGTGGCGGTCCGTCACCTTGACCTACACCAAAGAACCAAGAAGAACCAGCTCAGTCTCCCATCGAGGACGGAAGGTCCCGGAAGGAGGGGTCGCACGGCTAACCCTTTGACCCCTTATGTAGGCAACTTCCCCAGGCTGGATTTTGGGGGCACCCCAGTCTCTGCTCCCTGAATAAACTCTGCCCTCCGGCTGAGCCTGACAGTCGGGTGACTGGTCTCTGCCCAAGGTCAAGCCCACATCTGCAGCGCTCACTGCTGACAGCCCAGAGCCCTGCATGGCGTCAGCAGAGGAGCAGTACCTGTCACATGAACTAATCCGTCCACACACAGAGACACCCAGTGAACTCACTCTGCACAGGCTGGGACAGGCCCACAGCCCTGCTCCCAGCTGCCAGGGGCACTAACCTGGGCAGGGCCAAACAGGCAGAAATCACACGGGCTTGGGCACAGACCTCTGCCCTGCAGCCAGCAAGTCACGGGCCTGGCCTCTCCACAGCCATCCGTCACTCCCCGGAGCCCACCTGCACCCAGACCACAGCCCTGGCGAAGTGCAAGACCCAGTTCAAGGCCAGCTAAGAGAAAACTGCTTCAGGGAGAGACAACGGTTTGCAGAGGCACTACAGAGAGCAAGAACTGGCTGACTTTTCTAATATTTGTGCAAATCGGCAAGGTGGGTGAGAACTTCTTTGACAAAGTCCAAAGCAGCATTTGGACTTCTTCCGCAGGGAAGTGTATACTGGGCCGTTTAAAAGAGGTCCCCACATGTAAGAACACAGGTGCATGTCCCGGAAAGGCGAGTGGGGCCTGCGTACAAAGAATCAGACCCCAGGGAAGAGCAGCAAAAACCTCATCTTCAACCCGGGTAACAACCCGTGCAGACACACAGCACCGACACTCCTCCAAGGAAGAAGGGAGCCCCGCTGCCTCTCCACAGTCTCCCTTCCACTCCAAACCCAGCCTGCACGCCCCACAGGCCTTCCCGGGCCCTCCTCCCCGCTCCTGCTCCATTTAGAGCTGCAAAACGGTGGACACGGCTCCACCGCAATGGTCCTGGTAGCTGCTCCCTGAGCCCCGGCATCGCCTCTCGCGCTGCTCACCACACTCTGCAGCACACGCATGTGCAGATGCGAACCAGGCGAAGAGAAGCGAAGTCACAGTCGCCCAGCAAATCAGGAGCAGAGCCCGGATTTAAACTCCGCTCTTAACCACCTGCTAGACCAACCCCCGGATATCAGCTTCCGCAGGCCGGCGCCCAGGCCGGCTCTGGACGCCCCGGGGACAGCCCACGGGGGCCGGATGGAACGCAACGCGCCGGGCAAGGGACACATCAGGGGCCGCACGGGCAGTTTAAAATGCTGCCCGGCGGGGTGCGGAGAGGGGCGGGCGACGCAGGGGTCTGACGGCGATAAAACGCCGAGTGGCGCGCATCCGCCCAACAAGCCGGTCGGCTTCGGGCTTCCTGCGGCCCTAAGTCAACACAGAGCCTCCGAGGCAAGCGACGAGGTCTGGGCACCCGGTGGGGGAGGGGACGGGGTTATTCTCGGGGACCCCGGGGGCCCCGGGAGGAAGTGGAAGCGGGCGGCGGCATCTCGGACCGCCGGACCAACGCAGGTCACCTCGCCGCTCGGAAGAGATGACCCCTGCATGCCCAGGCCACTTGGGATCGGGGGTCACGCCCCTGACCCGGAGCGGGCAGTGAGGAGCCCAAGAGGCTGGGAACCAATGCCAACCTCCCCGGCGCCGGCGGCGGCCGCGCGCACTCACCTGACTGCACCGCGTCTCCCGAAGCTGCTATCCACGTCCGGCGGTCTTCCTAGCCGGGAAGCCGCCTGCCCAGACCCACCCAGCTCCCGGTCTTCAGGGTTCGCCGCACCAGAGAAGCAACCGAGCCGTGCAGCGCGGGCGAAATCTACGATTTTCAAAACTGAAGGCTCAACCAATCGTCGGCAAGTTTATCCGGGCGGTTGCAAAAATCTAAGCCAATCAGGTAGCAAGAATTACTACTCTGGCTTTCTATTGGCTTTCTGAGATGGCAATCTCCGGGACTAAGAGGCGGGGAAAGGAAGCGTAGACGCTTTAAGCCTCCTCCACTTCCGGGAGCCGGCTGGTGTCGGACTGAGCCGGTAGCGCTGGGTCCGCCGAACGGGCGCAGCCTCGCAGGCTCGGAACTACAAGCCCCAGCGTGCACTGCGAAGGCGCCCGGCGGCGTGGGGAAGGGGGATGAAGGGGGAACCCAGCGGCTGGGCGCAGCGCTGTGCTGGCTTTGCGTCCAAAGTTGTTCCCCCGAGCGTGATGACAGCCTCGCGACATCTGTCACTCGCTTTGTAAAGCCTCCCGGAGCTTGAGACTAGAGGGCGCCTTCTGTCGCCTCCGGGGGACAGTCACCTGCGTCCCCCCCGGGCTGTCCTCCAAAGGCGGGCTTGCGTGCACGCACATACCTTGTGCACAAGGGGCAGAGGCCAGGGACGCCTCTGCGAGGAGAGCAGGGCAGCCCGGCTCAGCAAAGGGCTGGCTGTGGGGCCCCAAACGCCAGGGGACTGTCCTGCTGTCTGGAAACCCCGATTTAGACGACCCTTTTCCTCTGTGCGTCGGCGTTGCCGGTCCTTGGGAAATAAGGCAGTTAAATCCGGGAGAGAGTTGCACAGTTGCGTTTTTTGCAGCTGTATTCACGATAGCCAAGAGGTGGAAGTAACCTAATGTCTGTCAACAGATAATGGAATATTATTCAGCCCTTAAAAAGGAAGGAAAAACACATCATATGCTACAGCATTGATGAACCTTGAGGGTATTCTTTTTTTTTTTTAATTTATTTATTTGACAGAGTTATAGATAGTGAGAGAGACAGAGAGAAAGGTCTTCCTTCCGTTGGTTCACTCCCCAAATGGCTGCTACGGCCGGCGCTGCGCCAATCTGAAGCCTGGAGCCAGGTGCTTCCTCCTGGTCTCCCATGCAGGTACAGGGCCCAAGGACCTGGGCCATGCTCCACTGCCTTCCCAGGCCACAGCAGAGAGCTGGACTGGAAGAGGAGCAGCCGGGACTAGAACCCAGCACCTATATGGGATGCCGGCACTGCAAGGCGGAGGATTAACCAGGTGACCCACAGCACCGGCCCACCTTGAGGGTATTTCACTAAAGGAAATGAGCCAGTCGCAAATAGACGTTGCATGATTTCCATTTACCTGAGATGTCAACAGTAGCTAACTTTTTTTTTTTAAGATGTAATTATTTATCTGAAAGAGAGAGAGATGTCTTCCACTCGCTCACTCCCCAGATGGTCACAAGAGCCAGGGCTGGACCAAGCAGAAGCCAAGAGCCTGGAACTCCATCCTAACCTCCCTCGTGGGTGCAGCGGCCCAAGCCCTTGCGCCATCATCCGCTGCTTTCTCAGGCGCATGAGCAAGGAGCTGGATGGGAAGTGGAGCTGCCTGGGAGGCATCGGCACCTGTGTGGGATGCTGGCGCTGCAGGTGGCGGCTTACCGGCTGTGCTGCCAGTGTGGCCCTGCGAGTAGCTAGCTTTGGTGAGCATGTAGAGCTGTGTTTCTGCTTCCAGAGGCTGGAGGTGGTAGAAAGTGGAGTTGTTCAAGGGATAGAGTTTCAGTTTTGCAAGGTGGCAAAGTCCCAGAGATCTGTTGCACAGCACAGTGGGCACAGTGAATGCTACTGTGCTGAACTCTTAAACATGGTTACGGGGCGGGTATCTGTCCTAGCAGTTAGACAGTGGTGAGATGCCCCCATCCCATGTCAGAGTGCCTGGTTTGAGTCCTGTCTCCACTTCCAAAACTGCGTCCTGTCAATGCAGACCCTGGGAGGCAGCAGTGATGGCCCAAATAGCTGGGTCCCTGCCACCCACATGGAAGACTCCGATGGAGTTCCCAGTTGCCAGCTTCAGCCTGACCCAGCCCCAGCAGTTGCAGGCATTTGGGGAGTGATAGGAGATAAGTAAGTTTTTTGAATGGTTACAGTGACAAATTTCCTGGTTTTGGCTGCACAGCTCCCCCAGGGGGCAGTCTCCTCCGGAGATGTCCTAGACTGCTGGCGTGCCAGCCTCTTCATGGTTGCCAAAGCAGTCAGTGACTTTAAAGCCAGCTGGGGGGCATGACGAGGGAAGCAAACAACTGCACCAAAGGGGTGCACCTTGCCCTGCACTGGAGCCCAGGTCTGTCCTGCAGGCTGGGCACTGAAGCACAGCCTGGGACAGTATAACCAGGACAGTAAGGGGCAGAGGCCTTGTGTCCAAGCCAGCACCACCAGAGGGCCCACCTGGTGGCAGACTTGGTGCCCTTGCGGTATCTCCTCGCTGCAAGGTGTAAGGCGGTATCGCCACGTCATCTGATGAGCTAACCATAGCTACAAGTTGTGGGGACCTGGGACCAAGCCATGCCTCCAGAGGAAGAATTATGTAAGGGATCAGAGAAGCCATATGGAGGCAACGGGGCTGATTTAACTTCCTCCAAGTAACAGAAAGGCCACCTCCCTGAACGTGAACCCATGAGACCTGAGTGACCACCCATGTCGCCAGCCCTGCCTGTCCAACACCAACAACTTCGCCTGGGCTCGGGATGCAGCAGGGAGCCTCAGCACATGTGACCCTGCCCTCATGGAGATCACAGTCGGGGGGCTCTGGGTACAGTACTGGGGTGTTGGGATATTAGAGAGGGGGTCCTGGCAGGGACACAGGGGCAGAGGGGTGACCAGGAGGAAGATGGCCATGGCAGAGTATACTTGAAAACAATGAGCACACCCCCTGTCGGATGGGCACTGGAGCCCTCCAGTGCCAGATCCCTTGGTGACAGAGCTGGGGACCGGAAATGTGGATTCCCCATGAGTTCAGGGGACACTTTTCCCATGTTTCTGCCCCAAGGAGAAGCTGGTATCTAAGGGTCTCTGGAGCAAAACAGAAGTCCAGATTTCTATAGGAGTGGTCTTCAGAATCATTTTCCTCTACCATTCAGTTAGAAAATTTTAAAACGGGGACCAGCACTGTGGCGAAGTAGGCTAAGTCTCCGCCTGCAGAGCCAGCATCCCATATGGGCACTAGTTCAAGTCCCAGCTGCTCCTCTTCCATCCAGCTCTCTGCTATGGCCTGGGAAAGCAGTGGAAGATGGCCTAAGTGATTGGGCCCCTGCACCCACGTGGAGACCCAGAGGAAGCTCCTGGCTCCTGGCTTCGGATCAGCGTAGCTCCAGCCATTGCGGCCAATTGGAGAGTGAACCATAGGATAGAAGACCCCTCTCTCTCTCTCTGCCTCTCCTCTCTCTATGTAACTCTGATTTTCAAATAAATAAATAAATCTTTTAAAAAATAAACAAAATATTTTTTAAAGTAAAAAATGGAAATGAATCTCAATGGTCTAAATAGGCCTTTTTAAAATGTTTTCATATTTGTATTAATGGTGCATTAATGTTACTGATTGATAGAATGAGACCAGGCTCAGCATAAGACGTACTTCTGGCTGGCGCCGCGGCTCACTAGGCTAATCCTCCGCCTGCGGCGCCGGCACACCAGGTTCTAGTCCTGATTGGGGTGCCGGATTCTGTCCCAGTTGCCCCTCTTCCAGGCCAGCTCTCTGCTGTGGCCAGGGAGTGCAGTGGAGGATGGCCCAAGTGCTTGGGCCCTGCACCTGCATGGGAGACCAGGAGAAGCACCTGGCTCCTGGCTTCAGATTGGCACGGTACTCCGGCCCCAGCGGCCATTGTGGGGTATTGGGGGTACTTCCATCTTTCCCCTTTTCCTTGTTTCTGTTTTGTTTTTGTCCCTGGAGGAGCAGGAGGCTGTCTCCACCCCGTCCCACTGTTGGTGCTGACTCTGAGGTGACTCACTCACAGGAAGCAGGAAACGGAGCCGCAGACGCTGACGCAGGGGTTAAGAGACCTCTTGGAACGCCGACATTCCACAAGGAGCCCGGACTCCACTCCCAATTCCAGCTTCCTGCTGATGTGCACCCTGGGAGGCAGCAAGGGGTAGTTCCAATACATGGGTCCCTGCCATGCACTTGGGGGCCTGGATGGAGTTACCTGTTCCTCAGAAGAGCAGGTGCGGGCTGCCAGATTCCTCTCCTGGGGCATCTGTGTTTTTTTGTTTGTTTGTTTGGTTGGTTGGTTGGTTTTTGACAGGCAGTGGACAGTGAGAGAGAGAGAGAGAAAGGTCTTCCTTCCATTGGTTCACCCCCTAAATGGTTGCTGCGGCCAGCACACCATGCTGATCCGATGGCAGGAGCCAGGTGCTTCTCCTGGTCTCCCATGGGGTGCAGGGCCCAAGGACTTGGGCCATCCTCCACTGCCCTCCCAGGCCACAGCAGAGAGCTGGCCTGGAAGAGGGGCAACCGGGACAGAATCCAGCGCCCCGACCAGGACTAGAACCTGGTGTGCCGGTGCCACAGGTGGAGGATTAGCCTAGTGAGCCACGGTGCCAGCCTAGGGTATCTGGAGGCTCTGTCTTAGACAAGGGAGATGCAGAGAAAGCCCCTCCCTGAGTTTGTGGAAGTCAGCCCGGTCGTTCCAAATTCTCGCACTTTCTTTTGCTGCCCACAGAAAGAGAGTAACTCAGGAAAGTCTAAAAAAACAGTCGGAGAGGGGCCGGTGTTGTAGCACGGTAGGTTAAGCTGCCACCTCTGATTCCGGCAGCCTATATCACAGCACATTTCAAATCCTGGATATTCCATTTCCCAATGAGATCCCTGCTAATGTGCCTGGAAAAGCAGTAGAAGATGGCCCAACATGGACCCCTGCCACCTATGGAGGAGGCCAAGCTTTGGCCTGGCCCAGACCTGGCCATTATGGTCATTTGAGGAGTGAACCAGGCAATAGAATATATCTCTCCCTCATGCACACCTGCATGGGCACTTGCTCTCTCTCTCTCTCCCTCTCTCTCTCTCTGCCTAATAAATAAAATAAATTAATTAAATTAAATAAA